AACAAATCTATATTGAAGTCACCACATATGAACATTAATTTATGACTTATTGTCAAGTAATTTTCTTCCATCCAGTCATTAAATTTTTCTATGCTGGCTCCAGGTGCTCTATAAATACAGCTTATTACAACATTTTTCTTTTTTTCCACGAGTATTTCTACAGTCACACACTCCAGCAAATTATCCACCACCCTTGACATTTTCTTCACTTTCTTACAACAAAAGTTTTTATCTGTGTACAAGGCCACACCACCTCCCATCTTATTTTCCCAGTTTGTGCATACCAAGTTATAGCCATCAAGGTCAAAATCCATTCCCCTTACATTATTCATCCAAGTTTCAGAAATAGCAATTATATTAAAAGAATGTGTAAGACTACTAAGATAATGTTTTATACTCTGAAAGTTTGCGTATAAACTTCTGCTATTGAAGTGAATTAATGATAATTTGTTTTCAGTCTTGACATTGATGTTAAACTGCTCATCCATTTATTTATTCTTTCAAGCATTCATTAACCTTGATTAAAATTAATCAAACAAATCAGGACAAGTTGTAAGGATAGTTTATGGTGAGAAGAATGAGAACAATCATTTATGATATACTGTAGCTCTAAATTCAAATATATTTTCCGGTTCATATCCATCACAAATGAGATGACTGAGTTAAAAATTAGAGATACTCATATTTCATTACTGAAACCCATGACTACATGAAAAGCAAGGGAGGCTTTTCGCAGCTAAATGTTGCAGTTGGAGCATGGTCCTTCAGCAAAATGCAGAAGCAGAGAGAGGAGAGAACTCATAAAAAGTGACAGCTGGCGATGCTCAGCCAGCTAGCAGGTCCTTCTAGAAGATAATTAATAGGTTTTCACTGGCAGATTTACAGAAGGAGGCAGAGCAAGGAGAGCATTGGCTGAAAACGGTCCTTTCCTGCAAACGATGCACAGCAGGTAAGGTCTCCCCTTTTAGACTCTTGCACAGACAGACATGTGCACACCTTCAACAAGGCCCTCAAAAACATGCACATCATAAATTTGAATCCATGATAGAATGACCTGTGCTCCTAGGGCATAAAAATGAGATACAGCTGTGGACATGGCCTAATATTAGCCGATTTATTTGATTTGATTTGATTTATTCTTTCTTTCAAGCATGTAAAAAACAGTTGATATGTCAACACACATAATTTTACACATATCCAACAAATGCTAATCCAATATCAATGTGCTTATACCTAGTACATGCCTGAATGGAGTAGGAAGAAGTCAGACTTATCCAGTCCTACCCCATAACATCATCTTACCATCATTGGTTTGCAAGCAGTATCTCTACATAAATAATTCTCTTCTACACCACACAAGTAATATACTAAAAAATTATAAG